TACTTCCAATTTAGTTGAGCATGATGATATCAACCATAACTTCTGAATAAAATATGAGATACATCTAAATGTATAATCAGGAAATTTAATTCGGTGTTTAAATATTTTTACCTTTTTCATTTTATGTAACACATGAAAAAGAGAAGTAGAAGACATAAAACATAAAATAACGGCCAGAAGAATGTGATTTTATGGTGAATATTACATATTGAAACTTTATTTTATATATTTTTGCGTATTTTGTATATTTTTGAACAAATATCATATATTTTTTTTTAATTTGTGTGTAAACGTTTTTCGAGGAAGATTTTAAATTCCTCATAATCAATCAAAACTCGGTGAAAAGGAAAAAAATAAAATTCACGTTTTTTTTCCTCTGTCGTCAATCATAGAATTATCGGGAACAATAATTTTTTTATTTTTTATTCTATAAAATTCGCAATTTAATTTTTGGGAGTTATATGATTGTTCTTTTAGAATTGTTTTTTATTACTTATCTTCCGCAACAAAATTCGATCATGAATTTAAAATATAAAACTAATAAATTCTAAAGACTTTAGTTTAGGAAGCATTTGAATTTTTTTTATTTTAATATAATTAAGCCGTTTTGTATGATTGATAGTTTTATAAAAGAATAAAATATTGAATCCTAGACTAAAAAAAATAAAATAATCGACTTGAAACGACGAATATAATTATTATTATATATAGTACGAAGTTATATAATAGTAATATTACATTGATCACGACTATTGGAGAAAAACAAAATATATAAATATATCTCAATTGAATTAGATAAAATAATAAATTAAACAAAAACAATTACGATGATGAGATTAGTGACATTTAACACGTTCACTGCGGGATGACGCCTTGAGGCGTCATTTCTATCGTTTCCCATGTGCGGATGACGCCTTAAGGCGTCATTTATACATTTATTTTCAACTATTTTTAATTTTATCAGCGTTGCGTTTTATTTTTTTTTTTCGTCAGCGTTGTTCAATATATATTACTGTATATGTGTGTGCAATCCACACCTCAAATTTTCTATTTTTAGGTCTACAGTAAGATTTGAACGGGGAATACTTTTATATTATTGTTTCATGTTATTTTAGCATTATTTTATCAGTTGTTCGCGAATGGTCGACTGTGTAATACGTGATTATAACTGTTCGGGATTTGACTGTAAAATACGTGACTATTACTATCCGCTATTTAACGACTTAATTGACGAATCGTATTCTTATTTTTTTACAATATGAGTAATAAATTTAATGAATCTGGTCCAATTGTTTTATAAATAATATTATAATAAAGTATAAAAGTTTATGAATGATAATTATTTTTATTCATATATTTATACAATGACTCCCAATGGCGTCAAACAGCGTCTGACTAAAACATTATTCAGTGACGCTGATGACACCAATAGGCGTGATAAAAATAAAACACGTAAATTTGATCAGCACCGGGGAATGGGTATACAAAAATTAAGCCACAGCGAACTCGTTAAAAAGTAGTGGGATACTGATCCAGATAATATTAGATAATAATCAATATTAAATTATAACGTTGTGTATGATGTGCACGCCGTGTGAAAATATTTTGTCATCATGAACGTAGCAGAATTGCCTATATGGAGTGCCGTGTTATGATTTTAAATGTATTGTGATGAAGGACTGGAACCTATAGGTTTTTTCGGTTCCGGTTTCGATTTCGGTTTTTTAAAAGGGTAAGGGTTCCAAAACCGATTAATTTTGGTTTATTCTGATTATTATAGATTTATTAAAAAATAACACGAAATTATTTATTTATTCTTATTTAAATTGTAATTGTTTCATTTCATGAAAATAGAAGGTATTATGAATAGTTAAAAAAAATAATTACAAATATATTAAATATATATATATTACATCAGCCTATTATATTTCTTTGAGTTAGGTTAAGTTATTTTATTCCAACTCATAGTAAGAATTTGTAAAATATTTTGTAATATTGTGAAATATCTAAATTTTAATTAGGAACCAAAGTTAATACTGGCTTCTATTTTTGTTACAAATTTGTACAAACATTAATTATATTTAAAATTTTAATAGACAAGATAGATGATATTTAATATCATATATGAGTATATTATTCTCATTATAAATTGTATTGTATTAATAAACATACAATAATAATAATAATAATAATAATAATAATATTACAAATTTATTTATTATATGCATTACACTATTACAGTTTACAACACAAAATAATAAAAACATAAAAAGATTTGATTTTTATTTTTCTGAAACGACAAATAGACAAACAAAATAGTCATTACTATTGTTTTACTAATCTAAATAACTGACCTAAATTAACCCTTTTATAATTAAGGTTACGTTTACGATTACGGTTTTTAATTTCTTGTTCCGGTTTCAGTTACGGTTCCTAAATTTTAAAGGTTAATGGGTTCTAGTATCGGTTCTTTTCGGTTACTGCTCCTTGCTTGTCATGCTCATCTCTCGCTATTTATACCATGTGATTTATATGTATTTAATATTTTTTTGGTACAATTATTATATTATATACATTACTACATATTTCATTTTTGTAATTAATCTCAGCGCATAAATCTGAATTTTAATTAAAGTTTTCGTTAACTGTTAATCCTTCCAGGTATAAAATCAATATGGGGTACCGAACACAAGAAAAATCACTACAGTTTTACAACTGTTTTATTAGTAAGCAGTATTAAAAGGCATTACATTATAATAAAAAAAAAACTACATAAAACATTTGTCGATATAATTGAATACGTTAAATCATTTTTTTCCAAATATGATTGAAAAAAATCGATAAAGGTTATCTAACATTATGTTATAATCATGTTTATCTATAATATGTAAATCAGATAGGACAGACTAAAAAGAGTTTTTCGGTGATGGATGTTAAAACGGTACTTTATACTCGTAGTTGTGATGATTACTGATAGTAAAAATGATTGCTGATGTATTACGATAATTACTATTATGATAATTATATATATATATATATATATTTATCAAGATAATAGTTACAATGATGGTGTTAGAACGCCGATACTAAAATATCAAAGTTATAATGTAATATACTATATTTATTGGTAAATTATGAATTTTCGAAAATTTCACGGATAATTTTAACGACACAGTGATCACAAAGATCAATAATTGGACTTTACGGGTGCAAAATTTTAAAATTCCAGAAATCTCTAAAAGTTCCTCTAAAAATCCATAAACGCATAATTATTTGTGCACACAAAAATCAAACGGAACGTCTTTTTCGAGTTGAAAACAATGTCGTTCCGTTTTCCTGTTTTCACGAAAGGAGGATTAACTATCGAAATCGTATCGATATTTTAGGACACACTGATGGATATAAACGTCGTTGGTTATCGTTATGGTTCCCCGTCCAAGTGCAAAACAATAATTATATTTGAATGTAATCACATTACACCGAGCTAACCATGTATTTGGCTCCGGTCAGATGATATGGCGATGAGATACAACATTATGATTAAAATATTGCTACTCACACACACATATATATATATATATATATACGTATATAGAACGTAGCAAAACATGGATTGAAGAACAAACAACAAAAATAATAAATTGATCATGCGGACAAAGCGTTTAATGGACGGAGAATATCCGATTAGAAAAGGAAATTTTGGTTGAAATAATGGATGAAGAACCAGGGTTACGACGAGAACAATAGTATCTGGCGAATTATTCGTATAGTTAAAGGTGTAATAAACGGGAACGAAAAGCATTTCTAAGTTATGGTGTCAAATACGAAATGCTGGTGGTCACAACTATTCATGCAAGAAAAAGACGTTGTACACTATTGTATTTTTTTTTTTTTTTTTTTTGTTTTTAATATTTGTAAGTTACAATTTTACAATAAAAAAAACAAAAAAAGTGATATATGTATTTTCTAGTTTAAATTAATTTTTGTTTTTTCATTGACGTTTATCAATTTTAGTGTGTAATTGGTAATACGATTTATTATTCGTTCTAAAATACCAATGTGTACGTTAATTTAACTATCACAAATTCTGTATACATCTATATCCCTTATAATGAACAGAATATTTGATAATATATTTTTTAAACAAAACGTTTGTATCAAATGTATATCTTAAATCCATTCTAATGAACTATCTGAAGAATATTAAAGGGATTTGTAAACAAATGTATAAGATGAAAGAAAATTTAAAACAAAATAAGGTCGTGATTCTTAAAAAACAAATAATTGAACGGTAAATAAATAACGTAATATTTTAGAACAGAACGTGACCCGGTAAGTTGTAAGTGAAAATTATTAAAATCACGATACGTATATAACTTGATTACTTGACTGTACAACTTTGACTTAAAATTTCGTAACCGAGGGTTAACGACCTCTCAATACATCTTTCTTGTATATCATATTTGTACGGTAATTTAAATAACGCCGGAGGATAAGAAGAGAAAGCACGGAAATTGGTGAACAGTTTTTTTTTTCACCCACGTACCACTGGAAAGAGCTACGCTGCGTAAATCGAAATGGGCAAGTTTCTACACATTAAGTTATAGAAAATAAATTGCCGTGTGTATGTGTGTGTGTATGTGTGTGTGTGTGTGTGTGTGTGTGCGTGTGCAAGATCGTGCAAGGGTGACTGCCGTGCGGTAAAAGGCGAGCGCGCACGGCGGCCACTGTTAAAACATCATCCCCCCCAACACCGGTGGGCACGATACGACCGTATGGGGTAGGACCGATATTCGGGGGCGAGAGAGCTATTACGCACGCGCTCTGCCGCTTCCATCGCCGCCGCAACCTTCCTCCGGGCGATACTTATTGCGCCCTGATCACGCCGCCGCCGCCGAGTCCGTGACGTCTAACGGGGTGAAGAAGGGGAAAAAAACGGTCTACTACTCGCGAGCGCGTCGCCCGTACACGGTCAAGCGGCGAACCAGTGCACTGTCATCCCGCGCGGTGTGTAGTGTTTATCGCGCGCGTGGTCTCCACTCTGCTGCTGCTCAAACACGCAGTTTCCGATCCACCGGTCGTCGTCGTCATCATCATCTGAGCGCTCTCTCCGATCGGGTATGTATACGGTAACCTCTTCGACGAACGGAAACGTTACGTCATGTGGATTACGGTTCTCGGGGTTCAGGGCTGGAGGGAAAAACACCGAAAAAACGTTTAAATTAATTTTATTAGGGCAAAAAAAAAAAACTACACCTTTTCCCTACAGATATCGACGACGGTACAAGTGTACAAAAGACCAGGAAAGTTGTTCAGTTACACGTTGTTTTCGGACGAATTTTTATTTTTGTCCCCCTCCCTCCCCGTTTTACCGGTCAAATCTGTTGCGGATAGTTTTTATAAATCGTTTATCCCCCTTTTTTCGTTGTATTATCTATGTATACCGCTCACCGTATCGTAAACAAAACGTTAGATATGTAGTGATATGGTATATTATATCTACGTTATGCCGGATCAGCAATGTCAAAATATAAACAACTTACAAACGGAGGAATCAAAACCAGTGTCTATGTAGGATAGTTTTCGAATAATTTTTCTGCGGATCTTCCTCAAAAATTTCAATCAGTCATACTAGTTATACCACAGGTTTTCAGAATAAAGTGTGGCATGATATTTGGAATTATTTCGTCCTGCAATTCCTGCGCTTTAGAGTTTGGACATTTATTCGTGGTTTGATCGTGCGCAAAATATTTTATTTATTCGGTTATACTGTACGTGAAACTTTAAATCTGACTGACGCAGTTTAACCGAACTTGGACATAAGTACTAACGCGTTTGAAGTATTCAAAAAAAAAAAAAAAAAAAATCAACCCAAAATACAGAATACATAAATAGTTAAGGGAAAATGTAATACACGTGTACAAGTAGCAACAATTATCACCTATGTGTTTAACGGAATAAAATTATCTTACCCAAGGAAGTTTGATTTGCCGGAAAATTTGTGATAAATTTTTCATTTAACTGCGTTATCGCAGCATGCTGCATAATATATGTGTTTTGTTATACACACATATATATCCATGTTTGGATATAATCCAACAATCGTGAAGCACACGTGTTCTTCGGCGTTTTTGTAAATGATAAAAATCGTAATTTGTATGCTCATAATATATGCTCGATTGCACACAATGAGAAATCGGTTAACAATATGCACTTGACATTGAATAAAATGCGGCGCGGGAGCCAAGAGGTGTGTAAAGTAAGTACACTCATCGGTTGGTGTAGTTATGGAAAAAAAGTGCACTACGTATAAATTGCTATTTTATCGGTCGTACGAGCTCGTAAAATGTACAACAGTAGATGATCTAACTTGTGAACAATAGCGTAGTTTTACTATATTTTTTTCCTGCCACAACCACACCGGTAAACCGTTCGAAGAGCCGACTGTCAATAACTTCGAGTTGTATACTTTCCAAGATTTTTGTGTTTTTACCAAGATACTGCAATGGTCGTTCACGTAAAGCCGGACTATGCCTACACCCATGTGTCAGGTTTTGAGGAGGGTGGTAATTTTCCGAGGTATAAAAATATACATTGTCCACAAGTATTTATGATGTAATTGCGTGAATAAATAATAAGTACAGTTTTCTTTTTCAAACATTAGTCTTGTGAGTTTTTAATAAATACTTTACAAGTTTAACTTGTTAGACAACTGCACCGTTTTAAATGTATGCAATGCAAAATATTGTAATGATTTAAAAATGGGATAATTAATATATTAAATTGTGGAGAAGTACTTATATGTTTTTTTTAAATCATTACTTATCATATTATATATTTTTAATATTACCTCTCCGATGATTGTGTCGGTCTGTCTTTTGACAACTGTAGTTGACTCTTCAGGTATGGAATAAGGTGACCAATTTATATTTTAAAATGACAATAACTTTCCTTTTTAACTCACTTATATTAATTTTTTTTAAATTAATTATACACACATTAATACACTTATTTTAAACTTTTACGGAACGTTTTACAATTAATTATATCCTTCTGCATAGACGATCTGCGTAGTCTTTTACACTCGCCTTTGATCGTCTATACAAAAGAATAACAAGAACGCATCTCACTTGTGTTTGAAAATGTTGCTCCTTATATTTAATGTCATCTGTGTGTGTACGTGTGTGTGTGTTTACGTGTGTGTGTGTGTGTGTGTGTGTGTGTCATATTTTATCTTTAGTACTTATATCTTATTCTTATACTTAATGTGCACTGATTATTATAATTATTTAATTGTACATTCAATTTTTTTTTTTCTCACTTCTGACGACCTACGAAATCATTTTTCTCGTTATATGATATACAGGAAAAAAGTAGGTACAAATTATGTGAAATAAGTTGTTCTGATAATATCAAATAAAACAATGTTTAAGTAATATTATACTATACAAATATATTACTGTTTTTCATTTATCTAAAATTTAGATTCTAAATGAATGTCATTTTTCATACGGGCCAAAGATATTACATATTTTGAGTATAGTTCTTCAGTGTTTATTTGTTATTCATACTCCAACGGTTGACCTACGTGATAATTTTATTAGGAAAAAATTACAATTGTATATATTTTTTTTTTTTTTATCACACGTAACCACCCTGCCACTGTTTTCGTTCGATCATTATTTGTAAATCAACGGGGTATTATGGAATGGACATGAACTATAAGTGTATACCAAGACCTGGTCGTAAAAATTCCATGTTAGCTTAAATTTATATTTTAAAAACCCTGTAGTTATCGGCGTGCTGCGCGGTCTCTGTTATCCATGTGGCTAATGCTGCAGATATGAAACTATCATTATTACTTTCCTTGCACTTATTTTTTCTCGTGTGCACCGCTATCATTTAATTCTTATCGTTATTTACAGTATTTTATAAAATTGCCGTATATTATTTCTATACATGCAACTAAACTCGCAAAGCAAATAATAATGAATTCCTAAGTATAAGAACCGTTTGATCAAAATATGACAAAAATGAGAACAGTACTATTATTATTATAATTTACCTTATGTATAATTTATGGAAATTCTTTGAAAAGTTTTCGTGTACCACTAATAAATTATCGTACGCATTTCAGAGACGATTAAAAACTAAAGCAAAAGCTTTCAGACTGGTGAAAATGGCACTTTCGAATAATTCTATATAAAATAACGCTTTAAATTTAGTGAAAAGAAAGGATCAAGATAAGCTATATATGTGTAAATTACACTTAAATAAACTAATCAATGATATATGTATATAGATATATAACTGAACATTAAACTTACATTATATAGCTCATAAACCGATCAAGTATTAAAATTTGAGTTAATGTATAATAATTATATTCAGTAGAAAATCTAATCAATTACATTAAGAATAGTGACCCTAAAATATTATTAGATTAATATATGTATTTAGTAGACTTTATGATCATGAAATCTGGGTTTGATAGTATAAAAATATTTTGTGCATTTCTACTATTTTATTTATGCAGCAGTTCGGCCGTAAGGTTCTTCGTGAAAACATTTCCATCGCGTTGTATTTTTTTCGTCCCGTTATTACTGTGTGCACATAAACTATTATTATAAAAAATATTTACTATTATTTCAAATTAAAAACATCATTATGATAAACAACGTTCAGCAAACTGGTGTAGCTTCACCGCATACACCAAAATCCACAACAAAATATTTGTCAATCTGATCAATGTTATGCAATCAAAATTACTAATAATTAAAAATCTACATTTATCAAGACTATCCATTCGCTACTGATAACTCTATTAAACAATCTCGAGGACAATCCTGTAAACTCACCTAAAACAAATCGCTAAATGGGGTGTTCACCTCCACCTATTTTTATCAAAAACACTTCAAATTACTTCGTTTTCAATACGGTCTTAACCAATATTATCAACTTCCCGAAGGTCATCGCTATCGAACCTCATTGTACAACCTGCAGGTTATTTAATTTTTAATAAAATTAATGACCTCACAAAAGAAACTAATTCTAGTTTTCATTGTTTTCATTAATCCCCCTCCCATTATCTTCACACAAGATTCATCAATAAAAACATACGCTTTCTTACACTAAACAAAAACATTGTCAACAATCTAACCCAGGTAGGACACTTTAGTTAAGATATATAAAAAGTTCTCTCAATTTATTCTTTTTGGATATTTAATACAGGACAATAACAAGGCAACTTCGCATCATCCCTAAGGAGACAATATATTTTTCTAGTCAAAACGAAACAAAAAAGAAAATCATTTTGATTAAGAACAAATTTTTTTATTTGACAATTATTAATAAAATAATATACTGTTGTGGTTTTAAGAGACAAAAAAATTAAATTTTATAAAAAAAGAAAAAGCGTCTACGTAAAGAAAAGAAAACGGTCCATGATTACTATATAACCGAAATAATGAACCATGAAAATATTTTTTTGTAAGCACTGATCTTGCGGTATTATAACACATTAGGCCAATACATCCATATTGATACATCGTTCGCCGCAATAGGTTATTTTATATTTTATTAATATATTCCGATACACCACATATTCCCGATTCCGTTCATCGTCATCCATGTAGTAATACAGTATATACACGTTACATGCACACATAATAGTTAAATATAATACTTATATAAACAATAACTCATTAACAGATTAAAATTAATTATCATTATTTTTACTATCTTTTGAAAACGGATCATTTTAGTGTCTCGAACATTTTCCTAAGGACAACGGGACGAAAATGTTAAAAGCGGAACAATCCCGTTCAAAACGAGACGTATAGTCACCTTATGACTAATATGATTTGGCATGATTCATGCCACTACTCAATTGTATCGATTTAAAAACCACATAAGAAGATACGTGGACGTACACAATGTCACAATTTTCAATTCTATGGACACACGTAGAATAATTGCCACTACAAACATAGATGCGTTAAATGTGGTGAAAACTACTTCACTAATGAGTATTCCAAAGACCACCACATTCCCACAAAATATGCTTATTGCATCAAGGACCAAACTGCTAACTTCAAAGAATGCGCAGTTTACAAAACAGCTTTCTTAAAACCGTTCTAGGAGTTTCTTTAATCAAGGGTCCTGTTTCTAATACCCATTCGTAAACCAAATCTTACACAGAAGCCACCAAAAATCCAAACTCACACATGAAATATTAATCACAAATACTCTTTCAAGTTGTGTATAAAATGTAAATTAATTAATTTGCTCCCTTATCTTCTTCCTCTCCTGCGTTTTAAAAACAATTACTACAAATTATTTCATAATCATCGTTGACCAGACAAATCTTATTAAAATGAGTGCATTACAATTTTATGAATTGATACTTTAATCTATAACAATTATTATTTATTATTATATCTTACATTATTTTATATTTTTTATAATAATATTTAAATATATTTATAACTAATCAATTACGATACAACACAACAAACAACATTTTATAGTGTAAAATATGAACAATTGTTATTTTGATTAGCACGTGAGATTCTGATACATTTAAATATACTAGCAAAAAAAAAATAAAAAAAAATTTGCAGAATTTTGATTTCCACTGAGTACTATTTAAATTTGGTGTTTAAAATTGATTAAACATTATATAACTACGAGCACATTTCATCAATTACGTGGTAGTTTTCAATGGCCGGTTAATTTTTACTATATTAAATAGGCATATTATATATAAATGTATTATATTATAATGTATTCGTAAACAAAATTTAAACCATTGAATAAGAGGTAAGAAAAAATTGCACCAATCTCACAGTTACATTGCTTTTACCTATTATTCGCTTACTGCGTTAAATATTCGTATTTACGTATAATAATAAGAAATATTAGGTATATGTTTATTGAACCTATTGTAATATTACTATATAACATGTTTCATATAACCAATTCGTTTTTTAATAATTTTATTTTAAATTCTGAGGTTTTTAAGTAAATATAAATACATTTTCATCATTTTATTACATACGTATGCAAAATAATATTTCTAAATACTCTCACTCGTTTCAATCAAAAATGTTTGGACGCTTTTGATGGAAATTCTGCACTAACTTTTCTGTTCGTGCATATACAAATAGTATGATATAGTAAATATTAAAAAAAAACATTTTCATCAAGATGGTATTATATCAACATTTCATACATTTTTGCAATGTATAACATATTTTTTGATACTTCTGTTCATATTTTATGATTTATATAAGTGTTTGCGTAACAGAGTTTATTGTTGCTTAAGTACTACGATTCACGGTACTTTTGATTACATTATTTGAAATTTAATTTACAGATCCTTTGAAGTACTTCTAATAGGAGGTTTCTTCATTCTGTATTATATGCGTGTATATATTATTTCATATATTAAGCAGACTGTTATGATTTTAACAGATTACAGTAAAACCTGTCTTATGCGGAATTGCACGGGACCAATAAAAATTTCCGTTTTAGGCAGGTTTCCTTATAACTGAATAAAACGGAAAATTCCGTACTATACAGTTACGATATACTGCACGATTAAAGTTGTAACATTTTCCGGTCAATAGCAAAAATAAAAATATTAAAATTTAATAAATATCATAGGCTACAATAAATTTTAATTTTTAGTAAATAATTATAATAACAAGTATATTAATTAAATATTTCAAAATAATGATAAATTAAAATTTTAAAAACATTTAGAAGGTACTAATAAAATAATATAATATAATAAAATAAAAAAAAAGTAGGTCGGTTATAGTACAATTATAAATTCCAAAACTCGTATAATGTTTTTTGTCTGGTTTTTTCTGTAGCAATTCTGTATTCTGTAGATAATTCAGATAGTACTGATATTTTATCGACATTAGCAATAAGTGATTGCATCAGAAGTCGGCGATAATACAACTTAACACAGTAAATAATACCTTGATCCATAGGCTGTGTAATGGAAGTTGTATTGGGAGGGAACCAGGCTAATTTTATGTTTGATAAATCGAGTTTTGAATGACATACGGCATTATCTAAAAAAATAATGATATGTTTATTTTTTTTTTTAACATTTTACTGTTAAATTTTATTAACCAATCTTCCATAATACTTCCAGTCATCCAAGCCTTTTTGTTAGAGTACCACGAAACTGGCAATTTTTCTACATCAATAGTTTTGAAACATCGAGGCTTTGCTGCTTTTCCTATTACTAATGGTTTTTCCATTTCACCGGCCATGTTTCTACAAAGAAGAAATGTTATTCTTTCTTTTGAAAGTTTACCACCTTTACATTGTTCCCCTTTTAATTTCAATGTTTTTGAAGGAATAGCGCGAAAAAATAAGCCTGTTTCATGGCAGTTATAGATACAATCACTATTATAATCTTTTATCAGCTCACATCAACATTGACATCATTAGATTCTTCACATACTTGATTCCATGAAATATTATGTATTTTTCTAAAACATTCCAACCAACCGTTGGTACCTTTAAAATCGGTGTTCCCCAATTTAATCGTGATGTCCTTGGATTTTTCCTGAAGCATTGGACCACTAATTGGAATGTTCTTAGATCTAGCTTTAACAAACCATTTCCAAACTGCTTAACAAATTTCATCATTAACAGTCTTCTTTAAACTTCGTTTGCTTTTTCCATTTCCTAATAAGATAAATGAATATGACTTAAATAAAATGTAATTAATAATTTAATTTTTTCATATGAACTTACCTTTTAACCATTCTTCTCTATTTTTAATTTTGTTTTTAATTATGTTATAAATTTGCGTTTTCCCGCATTTAAAAGTATTCATTAATGATTTAACACTATTTCCTTTTTCACTTTCTTCGATTACTTTTATTTTTTCATTTAAACTTAAACAAATTTTAGACATTGTGAGAACAAGTAGGTACGACGATACGAAACGACAGGTGAACTTCGATTACGCCACTACGGTGACAATAATAAACGCTAATTTATAGAATCAAGATAAAATTTAGTTATCTATCAATACGTATTAATCACTTACCTTAATAATTGTTTAGTAGCAAAATAAATGTGGGCATCAAAAATATTTTTGTTCATTTTATGATGTGTTTTTCCATTTGTTAAAGGTTTATATGATTTACGAGACCAAAAAATAGCTTTCCGTTTCACGTTAAACAGGTTCCGTTTTATCAAGGGTTTAATCCTATGTTAAACTATAGAAATCTGCCAGGACCATAAAAAAATTCCGCACAGAACAGGATTCCGTCTTATCAAGGGTTCGCATAAGATAGGTTTTACTGTACTTAAAAAAAAAAAAGAAAATTATATGAAAAAAAAAAATCACTGAACCGAAGACGTGAAGCTCTTGAAGTAAAACCCATCGTGCATATTTTGATCTAAATAATTATCCAATTAAATTATTAATCCGGAAATAATCGTTACTTAAGTTACTTGTATTATTAAAACTTTAAGTTATGAATATTTAATTTTGATTGCAGTGTATATTTGTACTCGGATTCCATGGCGTCCTCTAGTAAACAACCGGAAATTCCACCACGAAGACGTAGCTCGACTACTTCACCAAACAAGTAAAATATATATTTTATTGTTTTCAAATATCGCGTTACATTATAAATAAGCATTAAACAGTACACACTCGTTAAAAAATGGACATCATTTTTTTCATAATATTAAAATTATTTACGTTATTGCACTAGGATTATATTAATTATTTTTTCATCAACTATTTAATAAATATAAGATAATATTGTATTGATCTTTTAATTCCGAATGGTTTTTAAAATTTTATATTATACCAGAGTTCATATATATATATTATATAGATTTTATATCAAAGAGTGAAACATTTAACAAGGTTGTTAAGATTATTGATTGTTTGTGATAATAATTAAATATTGTAGTTACGCTAATGAGGTTTTTCTTTGCATAACTTATTACAGCAACATCGGTGTATTCGTGATGTTTTTTACATTTAGTTTTAATCAGGAATCTTATATTATGTTATTCATAATTTCTTGATAAACTGATATCAAAATAATTAAACCGAAAAATTGTAGCGCTTTGGTTATAAAACAGCGTATATACGTACCATAATATAATTACAAACACATAAGTCATTAATTTGTTTTCCGTTAGGATTATCAATCAAAATTCTGCTGAAGATTCTCAACCTAATTCGCCTTTGTTCCTGTCCCGGAGACATTCATCTTGTATCGATGACACCATAGAAAACGAGAACTATACCGTAAGTAATATTGCAATATCGTACTCGTATGATTTCTGTAAAAATTTGTTATATTAATTTATAATTGGCTATATACGTGTATAAGTCGTTTTTGAAATCGATATTATTGTTGTTGTCAATATATTCACTCATGTTTTGCACTTATCATCGTAAAAAAAAAAAATGTACTGTGAATGTTCTTAGTGGAAATTAAATATTCTTAACAGAATTAATTCTTAACAGAATCTTAATTTCTTAACAGAAATTAAATATTCAAGCGTTTAATGTAGCTTATTTATTTACATCAGTCGTAAATTCCACGATATCGCATGAAACTTAGTGGCTTACAAGCATATTTTTGGCTAGTTATAGGATTAAATACTATATTTTGGTTGAAATCACAGTAAAAACAATTTTTTTCGTTGTATTAAATAATAAATATATATGTATTAACGAGATAATTAAAAGGAAAATATTATTATATATTATTTCTGATTATATATTAATTTTTTGCTGACGCAAGAGCGACGGAAAACCAATAATCCAATAATTTATAATACAGTGTTCCGTTTTCATGATGAAACTCGGATCGGTATGAACGGAAAATTTCCAAAATTTATAATTATTGGTGGTTTATGATAACATGTGTAAAAAATATACCATCTCTGGGTTGTATTGTTGGTTAGGTTAGTATAGTATTTATATTTACATTCATATTAGGACTGTTAGTTGAAATACTATAGAACTCGGAAAGAACTAAATGCATTTCAAGTTTTCCTGCACAATTAAATTTCATTTTTTATCGTCATTGTTCGAAAATAATTTTTAAAAAATCTTATTTTCAGACTTATTAATTTCATATTACAGCATTTTGCTTGAATTCATGCAGAGAATATTCCATTCACGGCATTTGCTCTACAGATTTATCGTTCTAACCATGACTACAGTCGCATCCATATTTGGTTATGACCCTCTTGTCGTTTGCAATCACTAGTCATTTATTTTTTCCGTAAACTTTTGTTAGACAGCATCGACTCAACCATTTTATTATATAATATAAAATAGGATTCACTCCAAAGTCCCTGTTTGCGTGACCAGAAGTAATGCACCTTTTCATATCCAATTATCTGCCTAAAACTTTCTCTTGACATTCTATCTCAACATTCATCTCTTGAAACTTATCAATGAGGATCTCTTTGCAAAATAAAAATACAAATTCAAAAATATTGCTTAACGTAAAAATGAATGGAAATTTTACATTTATTGTTCTTATCTTTCTCCCAAGTGTATGTAATGAACTCAAGTTCGAGTAATAGGAATTATGGAGTTCTTCATCAGTAACAATATGTATACATTTTGAGAGAAAAATCAAAATATAATAAAATATGTGGCTAACGAAAAAAATGTGTAGAAATTGTGATATTTCGCGAAACAAATTATTCGTATATTATTCTTAGAAAATGTTGTATTATGTTCAGAAGAAAAAAAATCCCTCTTTGTTTTTTTAAGTATTTTATTTTACTACTAACATTTTCGTTATTTTATACGTTACGTAGTTTCTTCATTTTTATACTCAAACAATAAAATCGTTGTTGAACCTTCATGTTAAAAATAAAAACTTTTTAATTCAGGTAGCACAATTTTTGTGGATTATTTAAATTCTATGTTTGTTGCTTGAATACTGAAATCATTAGAAGTTTATGGATATCATTTAAAAATACTTCTATGACCCACAATAAGTTGATCGGTTCTTAGTATTTACTAGTGATACGGGAATAATATTGATGTGCGGTCTTTGTTTATATTTACGTATCTTAAAATAAGTCACGAATATCTTAAACTATTTTGTTTTTATTAAAATTAAGAAATTATTTAGCAATGATAACCTTATTTGTCATAATAATCATTCGTTTTATACACTGATCGCTTTTGAACCAAACCCAGATTGTGTAATCCTTGCAACTGACATTTATAGATGTTTTTTAAATAGCAAATTCTACGTCTGAATGGCTCATTATATTTATTAGAGCGAAAACTGGATCATATTATTTTAAATATTTTAATAATATGTGCATCGAAATTACAGTTTATTTTGATATAAAATTATTAATATAAATGTTTTTTGAAGCACTTCGATCTGCATTATATGCGTGATTATCCCGGCAAGTGTGTCTATCTGATCTGTAATTTTTCTTAAGTAATTTCTTATCGGTTATTACAGATTAATGTGATTTACGACTTACTATTAATATGATTATCTATGTTCTTCTATATACAGACAACAATAAGATTTAGTATAAAAATAATGAAAATCAAAAAAAAAAAAAAAAATTTATGATAGTAATACGACATAACATTTATTTACGTTTATACATCTCAGAATTACTCATTCAAAACTATGAAATTAAAATAAACCTTTTATTCATTTTTCCATATTTATATTATATAATTATATAATTAACTAATCAAAAATATACCATAAACAAGCAGATTATCTTACGATTTCTTATTTTTTCTTCTTTCTAAATACGGTAATAGAACTTCGATTAAAGTAGGGTTATTTAATTTTTCTTTAATTGAATAATTTCCTACTAAGTAAATATTTTAGATTTTTTTTTACCCCCTCCCATCGAAGAAAAGGAATACATTATTACGTTTAGTTACAGATGTTACAGCAATAGAATAAGCTACCGTGAGGAATTATTTTTTTTAATTTTTTTTTTGTACTTTACTGCATAAGCTTTGAAGACACCACCTCGAATTTACAATTATTTATTCAAATAGTTAAATGAAATGCATTTTTATAATGGTTTCTCTTGAATTAAACGCATTTTTTATTTTTAAAGTTATAGTTCCAAATATAGCTCTTTTGATTACGTATTTTTTCTTTTGCCTTTTATAGTTTTAAATTAGAATAATATTATTTAATTTGGCGTTTAAAATTTAAATACGAATACAATAATTATATTTAATTATTATATACATTTTACAGCATAATTGCCTGATGTATAAATTTTAACTTTTTAGTAAATAATTAAAAAACGGACATAAGTACTAATACATTTCGTGCGATAATATCATTATGATAACTGATATTCTGTACAATTATCAAAGATAATTATACTATGATGATTCAGCTTGTATTACAGTGTTCAAATAATTTTTCGGGAGGGAGCGTGTTTACGGCAATGATTTCAACAGGTAATTTTCATGTCATTAACAACAGTGATTGTTTTACGATTAGTTACAGTGAATTTCTGTTTTATAATACAAGTATCATAAACATTTTCAAATATTTTAACGAAATACAGTTTATTTATTAAAACAAATAAAATAATAATCAATAAAGCTATATATAATGCTGCTTTAAGTTATTAATAACTTTTAGAAGAGCAATGATTTTTATGTTCGTTTTTATTAATGATTACCAATGAATTTAATACACGGGCAATTATATTAACGACTTTTACATAACTTTACACAAATTTATTGATTTTTTTTCTAATGTAAAGGTTTTCGAATATAAAAATTTAAATGTACATAATAATAAATATATACTTTGCTATAATGTTTATGACAAAGATATAAAACAAAAAAAAAATAAGTATATATTAACCGTGTATGATTTAAAATTATCCTGACTAGAAACCACACTTTTTTCGTGGGATACATACTTTCATAATTATTATACAAAAATTTACGTGATTTTGTTTGATACATATTAATAATATAACCATGTTAATATTCAATCGTACATCAATACTTAATTTACGTGCATATACAAAACATTCGCTTACGGTTGATTGGTAAAAAAAAAAAGAAATTAGTTTTAAACCCCGTTCATTTCGATGTTATACTAGTGCATAAATTACTACATTTATGGGTATGTTTCTATGTGCATACTATCAAAAGTGATTTATTATCAATCCCGTTGTTTATTAGAAATTCAAAACGGTATTCGGAAACTTTATTCTACTAATCACGTTTGCACATACAGATACACACATTGTATAGTATACCTATATCAGGAGTGGCAAATCCGTGGCTCAATCGTTATACGGCCCACAAGATTTATCACACTTATATGTTTATTTTTGTAAAGAAAATGTCCTTTGTCATAAATTCACAATTTTATTAAGTTCATAATAATGTCATACAAGGATAATAAAATAAAAACGTTCCATTATTAATATTAATTTAAAAATCCAAATTATAATAATTTCAATTAAAGTGTGTAAAATAAATAAGAAAACTAATGAATAATTTTAACAGTCGTTTTACTAATTTAGACGACACGTACTTAATAAACAAAACCTACGATAGAAAAATTAAAATTATGAGAAAATATTAAAACGGCCGTCGTTTATAATGACTATATTAATATTACAAAGAGTCTAAAAACCGGTTTTGGTGATATTGAAATAATTGTTTACATAATTAAGTACAAAAAATAACTGAACTACTTAAGTCACTAGATACGGGATACGTATAATAATAAGACGTAATGTATTATAATTTTTAGGCATAGTGATAAACTTTCCTGGTATGCTTTAGTATCTGAGAGAAGCAAGGATACAAAGTGTTGATTTAAAAACGGTTTTTTTTTAAAACACTTTTTTTTTCTTTTAAACCACGCTTTAGGTAATACGTACTTCTACAGCGAGAGAGGCTTAATTAATTTAATTAGAATTTATTCCGATTATAATGCATTAAAATTATTGGAAAAAAATACATTTAACTATTACAAAAAAATTCTGATAACTTGCCCGGGCAGAATATTTCGATCAAGCCAGTTATATTGTCTTTTACGGTTTTTACGGTGCTTTTATGACAAGTATTGATTGATATCAAACATTTTAAATATTCGACTGAGAAGTTTATCACATAATATTTAAAGTCAAAAACAAACGACGTGTATGTCTGCACTGTAGTTTGTTCTTGTGTGTTATGCAGCCCATATAACACCGTTTACGAGAAAAATATTTTCAATTTATTTTTGTCTAGTCATTAGTGCGTGTAGG